GGGAGATAAAATTTATTAATACTAGAAATCAGCATTTTTCTGTCTAAATCTTTTTAACAAGTATAGAATTATACGTGATTCCTTGAACAGTTTAAACCAAAAATAAGCTAACTTTAAGAATCCTATCCACTAGTATAGCCTGTGGGGCTATTTTTTCAAACTGGAAAAAACATAAGACTACTACACTGAAGAAAATGAAAAAAATATTTAACATTTTTTACCTCAAAGGAGGACTTTAAGAAAGACTTATTTATATAAATATAAGGGAAACAAAAAGTTATAGGGAAATCACTAAAAAAATTTAAGCAGTATAGTCACGTCCAGATTTATTTCCTTTAAGGTAATTTAAGAAACAATGATTGCATCTTATATATAAACTTGTTATATTGACATTTGTGTATATAATATATATAACATATATGAAATGTGCACATCATGTATATGTATATAATGTACATATATATGTGTGTATGTATAATGTATCCACCCTTGTAGTATCACACAGAGTAGTGTCATTTGCCCTACACATTTTCTGTGTTCCTCCTCTTCATCACTTCTTCCTCCCTAACCTCTAGCAACCATTCATCTTTTTACTGTCTCTATAGTTTTGCCTTTTGCAGAATGTCATATAGTTGGAATCCTACAGTATGCAACCTTCCCAGATGGTCTCCTTTCACTTAGTGATAAGCATTTAAGTTTCCTCCATGTCTTCTCACGGCTTGGTAGCTCTTTTCTTTTTAGCACTGAATAATATTCTATTGTGTGGATTTCATTTATCCATTCACCTACCAAAGGACATCTTGGTCATTTCCAACTTTTGTCAATTATGAATAAAGCTGCTATAAACATCCTTGTGCACTTTTTTGTATGGACATAAATTTTCAACTTCTTTGGGTAAATACCAAGGAGTGCTATTGTTGGATTGTCTGATAAGAGTATGTTTAGTTTTGTAATTAACTGCTAGACTGTTTTCCAAAGCAGCTGTACCATTTTGCATTCCCATCCATCAGCAATAAATTAGAGCTTCTGTTGCTCCACAGCTCATCAGCATTTAGGTTGTCAGTGTTCCAGATTTTAGTCATTCTAACAGGTGTGTAGTAGCATCCTTCTGATGTTTTAATTTGCATGATACATGATATGGAACATCTTTTCATATGCTTGTTTGCCATCTGAATATCTTCTTTGATGAGGTGTATGTTAAGAACTTTTGCCCATTTTTTATTTAGGTTGTTTGTTTACTTATTGTTGACTGTTTAGAGCCTTGCCTATTTTACAAAACAGTCCTTTATCAGATATGTCTTTTGCAAATATTTTCTCCCAGTCTGTGCCTTGTCTTTTCATTCTTTTGACAGTGTGTTTCAAAGAGCAAAAGTTCCCAGTTTTAGTGAAATCTAGCTTATGAATTCTTGCTCTCATGGATTGTACCTTTGGTGTCATATCAAAAAATCGTCACCACATCTGAGGTCATCTAGATTTTCTTCTATGTTATCTTTTAGGAGTTTTATATTTACATTTAGGTTTATGATCTATATTGAGTTAATTTTTGTGAAGGGTTTTAAGGTCTGCGCCCACTACCTTACAATTTTAGAATGATCACACACTTCTGGTAAGTTGACATTTATATCACTACTCAATGATCCGCTTTTCCTGAGAAATGGTAGATGTCTGTTATATCTGATCTTAATGTGCCTAATAATTCTCTCTGATTAGTACTTTGAAGGTATATTTTCAACATCCTTTTACTTTTACTCTTACTCTGTCATTATGTTTTAGATGTTTTCTGGTAAAAGATTTTCACTGCATTTTTTTCTGATCTAGAATTCTGTATTTTAGATGGTAAATTTAATCCTTTTTTATTACAATTACACATACATTTGGATTTATTTCTGCCATTTTATTTCTTACTTTATATTTGTCCTGGTTTGATTATACTCTTTCTCCTCCTCCTCCTCTTTCTCCTTTTTCTCATTTCTTGCCTTCTTTTGGATGATTTTTCCCTATTAATATTTCTACTTCTGCTTTTTTTTTTTTTGAGGAAGATTAACCCTGAGCTAACATCTGCTGCCAATCCTCTTTTTGCTGAGGAAGATTGGCCCTGAGCTAACATCTGGGCCCATCTTCCTCTACTTTATACGTGAGATGCCTGCCACAGCATGGCTTGATAAGTGGTGGATAGGTCTGCATCTAGGATCCAAACCGGTGAACCCCAGGCTGCCTAAGCTGAGTGCGGAAAGTTTACCCCTGCACCACCAGGTCTGCCTCACTACTTCTGATTTTATGGAAGTTATAAGCTTTATTATTATTATTATTTAGCAATTCCTCCCCAAATTTTCCATATATAATTAACAAGGTTTAAAAATAAAAATCTTTGGGGGCCGGCCGCGTGGCTGAGTGTTTAAGTTCGCGTGCTCCACTTGGGCGGCCCAGGGTTTTGCTGGTTCGGATCCTGGGCATGGACATGGCACCACTGGCCAGGTCACACTGAGGTGGCACCCACATGCCACAACTAGAAGGACCCACAACTAAAATATACAACTAGGTACTGGGGGAATTTGGGGAGAAAAACCAGAAAAAAGAAAAACAGAGATTGGCAACAGTTGTTAGCTTAGGAGCCAGTCTTTAAAAAAAAAAATCCAAATCTTTGACTTTCTCCTCTGAGTAATATAAGGAATTTACAATCCTTTATAACAGTCCACACACCTCTTCAAGTAAAACGTTAATTTTACCTTGCATTTAAATTTTGTCATATGTTATTAATCCCATAATTCACAGATTATTTTTAGTTAGTTATATATAATCAGAATTTTTTTAAATGTACCATCATGCTTTCTCAATGTTCCTTCTTGAACCTCAGAACTTCCTACTAAGATTGGCATTTAGCTTCTTTTTTTTTTTTTGAGGAAGATTAGCCCCTGAGCTAATATCTGCTGCCAATCCTTCCCTTTTGGCTGAGGAAGATTGACTGTGAGCTAACATGCATGCCCATATTTCTCTACTTTATATGTGGGAGACCTGCCACAGCATGGCTTAACAAGTGATGCAGAGGTCTGAACCTGGGATCTGAACTGGCGAACCTCGGGACATGGATGAGAGAGCCAAACTTAACTGCTAAGCCACCAGCCTGGTCCCTGATATTTTGCTTCTGGAAGTTTCTTCTTTAAATTTTCTTACGGTGAAGCTCTACTGGTAGTAAACTGTTAGCTTTCGTTTAAAGAATAAAGTGTCTTTAATTTGTCCTTGCTCTTAAAAAACAGTTTTGCTACACACAGTTCAAATTTCACAGATATTTTCTCACAGTCCTCTAGTTTGTTATTCCATGGCTTCCTGGTTTCCACCGTTGCTTGTGAAATCTGTTAGCAGCAGCTTAATTGTTATTCCTTTACAGATCAAATCTTTCTTACTTTAAAAATATTTCCTTCATTTTTGTTGTTTGCAGTTTCACAGCCATACCTCTGCCTTTGGATTTTTTTTTAACGTGTATCCTGTTTGCAATGTATTGTATATCTTGATCCTGGGAAATCACGTATTTGAGCATTTCTGGAAAATTCACATCCATGGTTTCTTCAAATAATTATCTGCCTATTTCTTTTTGCTCTTCTTTTCCAAAACTTCAATTACAAATATGTTAGAATTTCTCGTTTTATCTTATTTTCTACATGTTACTCTTCTCTTTCATACTCTCTCTTGCTGTGGTCCTTTCTAATTTTTTTAGTGCTATGCTATTCAATTTTATTGTTTTGCTGGCTCCCATCTATTGAATTTTTCATTTCAATGATTTTAATCTTTAAAGTTTTGTTTTAGTATTTTCTTACAGCATGGTTATTTTGATAGTTCACTGTTTATTATTTTATTTCTTAAATATTTTATACATAATTAATTTAAATTCTCTATCTGATAAATCCAACACCTGACATATTGGAGGATTTATATCCATTATGTTTATCTCTACAATCTCCATTTTCCAGTGGATTATTTCCTCCTGTGCTATGTAATTTTATTGTGAGGTAATAATTCTGTGAACTTTATATTCTGGAATCCTGAGACACCCAGATTGAAGACAACTTTCCTCAGAGAATATTTGTATTTCTATGTCTCAGTCATCAGTGGGCACTACCAGCCTGGAATAATTTTATTACAGCTTTGATATCTGGGCTCCAATTCTCAGGCCTGTATAAGTGGTACACATTTTTAATCACAGACCCATATGCCAGCAGGCTTCTGATTGCAAATTCTAATGCAACATTATTAGCCGTATTATCAGTTCAGAGCCCTGTCAGGCAGAGGCAGTTCTCCCTGTGGGGTTTCCCTGATTTCATTAGCTCTTCAATATTTGTAGTAATAAATTGTATTTTATCGTGGAAAGATTTTCTGAACATTTTGTTTGCCACTCTTAAAAGTCCTGTTTTTGCGTTTTCATTTTTTTCTTCTGATTTCAAAGAACTGCTGGTGACTAGAGTTACTACATAATGACACAAAATAAAAGATTTTATGCGTATTTTATCAAAAAATTTAAAACCAGGCATGACATAAATATTATATTTAGAAATAAAATTTGAAACAACGCTGGCTTCAGCATTATTGAGCTCACTGATGAATGGTGGTGGATTTTACTGCCAGCAACACTCTCAAAAATGTACCATGAAACCAGCCTCCATTCATATTCAGCTGAAGCAAAACCGGAAAAAGAAAAGGCACAGTTTTGTATTATGCAAGCTCTAATAATTATGAATCCTCTCTAATAATTATGAAGCCATATGTTCTGCTTCACTCTCAGACCACAACACTCCTCATTTAAGACAATGTCAGAAGCGAATAATATCTGTGCCTATACTGTTGTGACAGTCAAACAATTTGCACTGATATGTGTGCCCTACTTACACCCCCTGTAAGATATCTGCTGAAGACTATAACAGGAGGCCTGATAAATTAGACCATACCTTCACTCAGCAATCCATGCTATACTATTCTTTGGAAAGTAAATAAACTCTCAATAAATTAGAAAGTCCAGTTCCTTCAGCTGTGTCTGAGTAAGAGCTTCTGTGTCCAAGGCACTATGATGGCTTCAAGATTCCTGAGAGCCAGTTTGGTAAGAGCAAATGTAAACATTTAGGGAGAAGTGTAGCCTGTGGATGCTTATGCTGTGTGGGTTTGAGGGGTTGGGGTGCTTTAAGAAAAGAGGATAGTATGAAAACTAGAGAAGAGGAAGAATTCAGACATACATTGGAATGTTATATGCACACAGCGGTATATATAGTAGAAGTAGTGGGCTTCTACTACTTTCTGGAGACTGCTCTCCAAGGGAAAGTAGATTTCGCATAGTTGAGGGCAAAGCCAGCTATGGACGGCAGTTCCATAGGGATAAAGGCACTACTGTTGTGGGCAAACTGTTTGTGAGCATAACTGCATCTGGCTCATTAAGAATTCAATTAAATAGCTCATGTCTGGCTACTCACTGCTCATAAGCCGTATCCATTGCTCTAGCCTATCACGCTATTGAATTAGAAAGTGGATGCAGGAATAGTAACGTTGAAAGCTCACACTTGCATAGTGCTGGCTACCAGCGGAGCATTTTACTAAGTGTTTCCCAAACATCTTTTTACATCTGCATACTGTCTTTATGACTTTGGTACAGTATTAGCCCCATTTTATGGAGGATAAAACTGAAATACAGAGACAGTATGTAGCTTTGTCAATGTCCACTGGAACTGGAGCTTGAATCTAGGCAATTCTGCTTTGTTGTAAAATCCTACCTCATCCTGACCAAAGTCAGTGCTTCACAAATTAGAAAATTGACGCTGGAGAAATGAAGGAATATTTCCCGGGATGTATTGATTGCAAAGCTCCAGAGACCAGCTTAGAAAGTATCTTCAGTTCTTACCTTCCTAAATTTCTAACATAATTGGCTAAAATGGTACAGACTAGAAATTGAAAGGAATTTAAAAATGACAAAACAAAGCAGAGTTAATTACACCTGGGGCAAAGGACACACCAACAGTGTGCATGGGCTAGGGGTGTGAGTTATAGTACAACTCTATACTTTCTATACTTTTACTCCTAATGGATTTTCAATGTATTCGCCCTGTCTCAGAAAGTCACAGTTCTTCAGGAAAAGTTAAAAATGATTCCAAGAACAGCAAATGTGTGAGCCACTTATATTTACAGAAGTCTTGTTTATTTCTGGTTAAAGTTCTTTCTTATCTTATGAGTACATTGGGATGTTTACAGAGGGTGTATTCAGCCAGTTATGTCAAATAAAATGCTGTACAGTCAGGTGGCATGAAATTAACCCTGGACTCAGCTCTTTATTTCTTTAAAAATACACAAAACCTTAAAAGGTCTCACAGATCTAAAGTTAACAAAACTTTAGAAAGTTCAATAGCTATAATGTGTAATATCACCTTAATTTTACTAAAATCAAATTTAAAACATTATCATTATGCCTTTTAAAAGAAAAAATATCCATTTTATTCATACAAGTAAAATAAATGCAATCATTTGTTTTGTATTTCAAATAGTCATAAAAGAACCATTTAGACTAGTCACTCTTTGATATGTATTTACCTCACCCACCTATTAAAGTCAAAATTCTCAAAATCATTAAGAACATAACTCTTCTAAGTAAATAAGTAAATGATGGCAATTATCTGCCAAAGCATTAGTGTAAAAACCTAGATGGTAGGGGGTTAAAAGATAGCAGAAAACTCTCCTAAGAACTTGTTCACCTATGAAATCATAATTTCTAAAGACATTTTTAAGTGGCTTATATAGTATTTTGACTCAGTTGTTGACATATGTAAAGAACCACTGCTAAATCTGAAATGCAAACCACTAAACATTCATTTTTAAAAGCTTATGCCAAGCAACGTAGTCAATAAACTCTCTTGCCCAACGGTACATTTCATCAGGCTGAGAGTGGACGAGGTTCAGATCCTGGGAGACTACCTCTAAAGCTGTAGAGGTCAGGGAGGGAGAAATGATGGGTGTAAAGCTTGGTATATTAAAGTGCAAATTCCATGTTATTACAAAATATCATTTTTACATTTCACTGAAGCAGCTTATGAGGTCTCAGGCAAAAGGCACACTTCCTTCAGAGAGGTTTTGTTGTTGTTGATTTTTTTGTTTTTTCAGGAAGTGGAATTCTAAGTAGAAGTATGGGCAGTAAAGGCAGTTGCTCACTTTTCCCAAGACGGTTAAAGAAAAGACAGAGCCAAACTGTGCCTCTACTTGCTTCTTCCTTCACTTTGTAAAAGAGACGGAAGGTCTTAAACTCAAGCCCTTTAACTCTGTGGTGAACACGAGTTAGGTTACTCTCTTGTACTTTTGTGAGTCAGAGGGTGTGTGTTGGTCTGGTTCTCAGGAAAGCAATTCTCTTTGTCCTCTTTTTCTTCCTGGAAACAATATGCGTGCGTGCGTGCGTGCGTGTGTGTGTGTGTGTGTGTGTTAGGAGTGGAGTAGGGTGTGTACAAATGGGAAGGAGGCTGGACATCAGGTAGCAGACTTTGTTACTTCCTTCTCCAGGGGTAAGATAAAGTCAGAAGTATATACAAAAACTACAGCTGCCAAAAAGGAATTTTCTGTTTGGCAGCTAAGAAAGTAAGCACTCCTACAGTACCTAGGATTACCACTTTGGTGATGAGACATTCACTGGCCATTGTTCTGTAAACTCTCATTGATTAACAATGACAAAGAAAGAAAAAAAATATACATACCCATAGTCCTAAGAACGTTGTCTTGCCTAACCAAACAGACGTCCCTTCCTTGAGGAAGAAGAGAATATATTTGGCTGGTGGTAGTTGTGTATGAGAATTTACTTTTGCATTCATTTTGGTTTCAATAGCGTTTACCCAACAAGGAACAAGTGGGAGACTCTAGATTTGAACTCAAATTTATCTTCCAGATACTGAAGTTCATGATCTCATCCTTGTGCTATGTTCTCATTGAAGGCTGACTACTTGGACTTTGGGTCAAATTGATAATTAGAGATAAAGCAATGTGAGATTAATTGCATGCTGGTATTTACCAAGCACAATTGACTAAATCTGTTTTCTATATCTAGAATTAAAAAGTCGTATTAATATATCACATAACCCTATGATTATTAACATATATAAAAGCCTTTCATCCAAATGTTTACCAGGTGCACTATTATGGTCAAGATTATTGCTAATCTATAGAGCCAGTGAGTACAGTTGTGCACGTTGTGCACACTACAATTCCAGGTGGTACCATTCATATTGCGCAACACAACCTAATGTCCTCTAAGTGGGAGCTTGAAAGACAATTAGTTTATGAAGGGGAATAAGCTCAAGTTTTGCCATAAAAGAACTTTGAACTAGCGTTGAACAAGCAGATTCCTTTACTTTCCAAGACACTTAAACAAAGAAGAACCAGATTCTGTAAACTTACTTTTGAAAATTATTCCCCAATGCTAATAATTTTTTTATTTCTTGTGCATATTTCTTTATCCAATAATGTATCTTTACTGTTACCATCCTTCTTTGTCATTAAAGATGACTGATGTGTGCAAGGATGTCAATATTCAGATGAGGGACTTTCCAATTCTGAAGTGAGAAGTGAGGAAAAAGCATCCTGGTGACACATCAGTATAACTCACCTTCAGAGAGGGAAGGAGATTCATCTCCATCCTAATCCCAGCCTTCTCAGGTAAGTGAGCTATGACGAAACAAGGAATTTCAAGGAAGTGACTCTTACCATTATTTCTATCACAGTGAAACAAAGATGGCCTTGTGCTCTGGAATTTACAGGGAACAAAATAGCTGCAAAAAAGATTGGCTTTTCCTTGGACTCACACATTCATAAGAAGGGTAACTGAGAAAAATATTACGTATGCAGAAGTCACTGGTATAAGAACCAAAAAAATGCAGAACATAGATCGATATTAGGACATTAAAATGCATAATCCTAGATAAAGAAAATAAAGACAAACGTCTAAAAATGTAAAAGGGAACTAGGAAAACATGATCTAGGAAAAACCGTCATCACTTTTGCCTTAAGTTAAATATCACAAAAATAGAATTTCCAGTTCCAACGTTTCTTCTCACTTTCCATTTTTGAACTTGCTCTTTAAAACCTTTAGAACATTTATTCAGTAGTACTAGGTTCACAATTTGAAGATATTATTTTTATAAACATGCGTGAAAATGAAAATGCACTGTGGTCATTATAAGCATGTGTGGCTAAAATCTAGAGGCCCTTTTCTTCACCAATTGACATACAAAAAGCAAGTATGTATTTAGCATTTCTTTGTATTTTCTTTGAGTATGTAATTTTTTAAAACATAAGACACAGTTCCTGTCTTCAAAGAATGTATCTTCTTATAGGAGATAAGGAGAAATAACAAAAAACTACAATGTATCTATAAATATGTGGCTATTATGCAAAGGTAAATTGCATACCACAAATCCTGTGAAGAAAATAAGTAAAATTAAAATGGCAACCAGGCACATATTTATTCCATTTATGACAGAAAAATGATTACAATCCTTAATATATAAAGAGCTCTTAAAATTATCACATAAAGATTTCAATAGAAAAATAAGAAAAGACTAATAATAATTTACCTACCCTCTAAAAAAAAAGTAGAATAGCATAAAAAAACAAGCTCTCATGTAGCTAAAGAAATGTCAATTAAAACAATGAGGTGACTATTCTTGCCTATAACATTATACACCGCCACAAAGACACAAAGCCATATCAAATGTTATTCTCTAGGATGGATGAAAGGTGCAATGATATTCTGCTAAAGAAAATTTAAATTGATGTAAACTTTACAAAGTACCTACCTTTGATTTAGCAATTTTGCTTCCAAAAAATTTGTTAGTAGTAAGAAATAATTTTTCTCAATAGAAAAATTCAGCTTAAAACTGGTAGGTATAATATAATATCTATTTTGGAAAAAATTGCGTAAAAATTTTTAGAAGTATATCCTGAAAATACTCAACTATAAATAGTGGTTGTTTCTGTGAGTAAAATCTAGAACAAATTTAATTCCATATTTTCTACATCTTTAGAGTTATTTTGCAACATGTACATAAAATTTTTATAAAGAGAAAAAACAATATTTAAAAATTTTGCATACCTCTCGTTTTACCTTTCTCACCTACCATAAAATAATTTCTCTAATTTTTATTTAACTTCTCATAGAATTTATTTATTTTTTCATTTGACTAGACATTAGGGACACTGAAAGAATCCAAACTTGTGTTTAGACTGGTGGATGCGCATAAAGGACACATTTCAGGGAAAAATGAGTACACGTACTGTGAATCTTTTCTGTAATCTCTTAATCTCTCTCTCCTCTCTATTATTTTATTTGTTAAGGCCACATAGCTTTGGAGTCACAAGTGGTTTTCTGGGCCTGATTTGTTACCTAATACTTGTAAGATTTTAGCCAAATCATTTACAATCTCTCAATCTCCTGGGACAAATTTGAGCTGTTGAGAATGACCTTATTGAATAATTCTTTATAAATCAGCCAGGCCTAGTGTAGTATTTAGGATAGGATGGATTCGATGACTGAATGCTTTCAGCAAGCCTGCTGCTGTTTTGCATAGCTTCACTAGTTGCAGCTGGGATAACACAATCATCCAGTTCACTGACACATTTATTGAAGAGAGCCTGAGGTATAATTCCACAGGTCTTCAAACTTTACCTGATTTCAGGCTGCCTAGATGTTCATCATTGTCTTGCCTCCTTAATTGGTTTTTAACTGGCACTGCAACTGTTAATTCACAATCACAATCACATCATTGTATTCCCAATTGGAAATATAATTTCCCCAGCTTTTGCTTTTGATGGTCCTCCACTGTGGGCGGGAGAATTGTCCTGACCCTGTGTCTTTGGAACATATCACTTGCTAGCATGAAGTTTGGCAGGAAGGGGAAGTGATTTGTGAGAGCCAATGGCTTTACGTGTTATCAAAATGGAAAAAAAAACCCAAAAAAACCTTTAGTTTACAGAGTCATCAAACCATACAAAAAATGAACAAACTAGCTTTGAGAAGACCTTAGACAAATCAGATGTTCCACATTCTCTGTCAAAGAGAGCCAGATGGGCATTAATATGACAGATCTCAATGCTCTCCAGATTTGTGTACCTGATGCACTGAGAAGGATTATGATTCCCAAGAACGGCAACAAAATACAACTATACCAGGTGCACATAAATGCCTTTTATCTGTGTTCTCTCTCTCAATTTTTCTACCCACCACACACACACACACACACACACACACACACATACAAACCACTGGCTGGCAGAGAAAATTAGGAATCTGTAGGCAACATCTTTTAAAAACACAAATATGTTGTTTTTAAAATTTCCTTAGAAATCTGTAAATAAAATGGAGAGTCTAAAAGAATGTGCTAGTTTGTTTCTGGGCTTTATGACCTCCCCAGGCCTACATAGGTATAATCGCCAGGGCAAAGGCTTGGCAGTTATAACTGCATCTAAGTTTGAGACAAGTGCCCTTAGCAAAAAGATTGATGCTCACAACTAGAGCGTCAGAGAATCTTATAGGGTGGCTGAGGTAGTGGAGGTGGAGGTCAGAAGCATATATCTGGGCCAAAATTCCTTCCCCTTCACACACAAGCTTCTTGTTTATTCCTCTTCTTTGTATATGTGACTCAGAATACAAAAAACAAAAAGAGCTGAGAGATTATAGAAATGATTAGAGTGACAGAAAGCACCTGCATTCTGAAACCATTAGTTCTACCGTTTCTTTTCTGCTGCCAAAGTTATTATTTAATTTTTAGCGTATGCTTGCTCTTTCCATGATGTTGGGAACTCAAGTTTCTTCCAGATGAAAACACATGTACACACACACACACACGCAAATGACTTTTCACCATGAGCAAAATTGTTAGATGACATTCTTATGAGTTGTAGAGAAGCAACGGTCTTCCATCCACTCGCCCTTCAGTTTCTTTTTCTGCGCATTTCTCTCAGACCGTTTGAAGGCTTATGGGAACCTTCAAATCTAGAGAATCTCTGACTTTGCTTCTTTCTGGCCTCCACCCTGATCCACTTCCTTCTCGGTGCTTCCTGGCTCTTCTAGCTGTTGAAACAGCAGGGTCTGACTCTGTGTGTGTGTAGTTTAGACTTTTTATATCTTTACTGCCTGTAAAGTCACTGATTATTAAATTCTGATCGTATCCTTGAACTTTTTTTTTCCCCAGAGACAGGAATGAGTCTCCCTGGCCTTTCCTGCCCTGCCCTTCCAGGAGTGCCACCAGCTCCCAGCAGTGCCACTGACTGAAACTGAAAACTGAAAAAGAGGATTAAATTGTGAGGTAAAATTTGCTTTTTTTGACTTTCTTTTCTTGAAGTTTTTACCTTGCATCTTCAGAGCATTGTGCTCCTTAAATGATTTCTGTTTTGAATACATTTGTAATTTGAATGTGTTTGCCTAATTCCAATTTTCCCACAGGAAACTCAGTGTTGTTTATGCTGTGCAGAATGTCTCAGGCTTTCAGTGATTTTTCTGGGTTCAATGGAACTCTTATGAAGCATGCCAGGATTTAAGATCTCTCATGAAACTGTAGACAGGAGGGAAAAATGAAACCATTTCAAGTCCTCACTTCTCTGCTCCCGTCTTCCCTCCACCCCTACACACACACCCCCACCATTATGACACACTTTATATAATATAGAATATGTGGTTTATGACATTTATTTCAGTAGCTGGTGTTTGATGTGGACGAAATAGAGCTGGACTTTGTGAGGGTGGGAGAAACGGAAAAAAACATTCTTTTCTCGCTAATAGAACCATTCAGTTTTAATATCAAATGACTCAGTTAGTTTCTCCTACGAAGGACATTGTTTTCCATTTTTCTCTTTTTTCCCACTAATTTTTTTAAGCCAATTTCGATAGTTTAATTTTCAGTCTATGGCTCTACTTAAATAGGAAGAGTAGTGGTGTCATGTAGATTATAGAATATAACCACATAAAATTGTTTGTTACTTTCTGGTAGGATTTAAAAGATTTTTATGAAATAATTTTTGTATTTTAAAGTAACTATCATTCATAAACCATCTTCCAGGGTCTGACTCAACAAGATTTGTTGTCTATGTCTTTCGGGCTGCTCCCCTGCACTCATGTCCACATATAATTCTGAACTCATCACCTTCTGCTGGTTATGATGAGGCAGTGCTAATTCAGAAGTAATATTCCTAGGTTCCTGAATTGGTTACACCCGCTTTCTTAGACGTGACTAGTATACATCGAGAATCAGCTACCTTATTTTCATCTTGTTACTCATATCCATCCTTCTCTGACAACATTTTTGCAGCATGAGGAGCTTGAGTTTTTTGTCAGAGGGAAGTTTGCTTTGTCAAAAGAAAATTTCCTCACGAACTGTGAACACCCTTATTTGAATGAGATCAGTGATAGACATTTTTTGACTCTGGTTTGGGCCCACTCACAGTAGATTTGCAGTATGACCAGGTGAGGAGAGCTGAGAAAATTGAATACTATTTCTGAGTTGCTGCTCACGTCTCGTGTGCCTTTGAGCAGACTCTCTGAAGCTCAGTTTCCTAATCTTACCTACAAAATGAAAGTAAGATTCATCGTCAGGGTAGGTATTGATTAGAGATAATATATATTAAGCACAATCAATACAATTTATTTTCTAGAAGACAATTCATTTTGATAAATCGTTTTTCTACATTCTATATTCTAGAGAATAGACTAAAAATGGTTATAAGTCATGCTTTCCAAGTTTTCCTGTGCATGCATGTTACTTGGGGATTTTATTAAACTATAGATTCTGATTCTGGATTGAGGCCTGAGATTCAGCATTTCCAACACTCTGGTGATGCCAATAGTACATGGTGCTTGTATATGGACTGTATTTGAATAGCAATTATGAATCAATTACATAAACATAAAACAATAGTACAAATTAAATTAAAATGAATAAATAAAAAAGTGGAAAAGGATGAGTTAAGACGTGAAGGGTGACCGTGAATGATGTTATAAATGTACAACATAATGTTAACCACCTATTATGTGGGGAATAAATTTGTCTATATACAAAAAGGGACTCTGTGTCTTCAATATTCATTTACTTTCCCATATTAATTTGTATCCATAATAAGAGTTGGTCAGTAGAGTTGTATTGCTACAAAATTTTACATTCTGGAGCCAAAGAACAAAAAGAGATCCTCATTTATTTTCCTCAATTAATTCAGAATATACAAGTGTTCAAATGAATTTGGGATTGATATTTACCTTTACATAATCTAGGAAGAAATAATTTGCTAGGAAATTACTAGAATAAAATGTTTTAAGGAAAACTATTTCATTTATTATGGGAACCTCAAGTCTAATATCTGAATATACTATGTGACTTCTGCTGTCACTCATTCCTTTATATACAAACTGGGAAATAACTCTAACCCCAAGATCTTCTAAGATTGTGGGTGGGAAATATAGGTCTCATCATTCATTCTTCCATTCAGTTCATTCAATAACAACTTCATTCCACGCACAATGCTTATAGACGCGATTTCACTTCTTTTCACTTCCTGCATCTGCTGAGTTCTTGACCAATCACTTTATTTGTTCAGGTCTTGAGGTTGCTGATGTATTCCATAGTATTTTGTGATGAAGAATTTCTTCTACTAGACCCTGCCCCTCCGCCAACAAGGGAATTCTAAGGCAACAAGATAGTTTACCAAAAATAGAGAATAACTGAGAAACTCATAGATGGCAATAATTTAATACGGAATATTTAATATAAATTTCCTAAAATGCCATGGCGACTCGGCTCTCACTGGCATCCTTGCCGTAGGATCTTGCCCACTATAAACTTGTTCGTGTCTGCTCCATGCTGATCCTGCTCTTCCGTCAGTATACTCTTCTCTAGGCTCCTGAGGCCCTCAGCTCATTTACTCTATTAGCAGTAATGAAGATGCAAAATTCAAATTATTTTCCCTGTATTTCTAAAATAAGATGCCATATATTTTAAGACAAATCCCAGGTTTAATAATAACATTTGGAGAAACCAAAATATACTCTATTTTTGTGTGCATACCCATTAATTACAAGATACAAAAACATGACATATAATTCTTGTCTTACAATATAAAAGGAAGAAATGTTTGTTCATATTTCTCTCTTCTAGACATTTTTAGGGGTGGGTGAGTGGAGGAATTATCTCTAAAATATCAGACTATTACACCAACATGTTTTTCCTAATCAAAAGCATGCATGGTTCTATACAAATCAATTTTAGGTTACCAGTTTAAGCAGAAGCTGGCTTTTAAATTAGGGATTAATAACGCAAGTTACTGTTGAAAGCTTACTAAGTGCAATCACTGCTTAAAGCACCCTCAAGGGATTTTTCAGTCACCAAATTACTTACTAAATTTTTTTTTAAAAGATTTTATTTTTTTTCCTTTTTCTTCCCAAAGCCCCCCGGTACATAGTTGTATATTCTTCATTGTGGGTCCTTCTAGTTGTGGCATGTGCGACACAATGAGCAGTGCCATGTCCATGCCCAGGATTTGAACCAACAAAACACTGGGCTGCCTGCAGCAGAGTGCCCAAACCCAACCACTCAGCCACTGGGCCAGCCCCTACTTACTAAATTTTTGGCTGATGAAATCTGCATTTAGCAATCAATTTGCCAATCAGAGTTTGACAATCTTTGAGATCTAATTACAATTATTTTGCTAGAGGTAATACAATTTCATCCAAGATATTATGTGATTTAGGTTGTTATTAATTCAAATTCTGTTCATATGGTGGTATACATTATCTATTATTATTGAATGACAGATTCTCAGAAATAAATGGAACAATATATCATAAAGGAACCTATTACTTCTACATTCTATGTTTTCATCTATTTCTGGGATGTTTGCATTCTCTGTGTGTGGGAGGTGGGAATGTTGTAAAATTAGAAACACATTAGTAAGAGCAAGGCTAGAGTTTCACTTACAAAGTTCAGTGGAGATTAAGTGGAAAAAATAAATAATGAATAGCTCTCTTTGATGGTCAACTTTCTAGGCCAACTTGATTGAGCTACGGAGAGCCCAGATACTTGGTCAAACATTATTCTAAGTGTGGAAGTGAGTGTATTTCTGGATAAGATTAATTTTTGAATCAATAGACTGAGTAAAGCAGATTGCCTTCCCTAATGTGGATGGACCTCATCCAATCAGTTGAAGGCCTGAATGGAACAAAAAGAACAACAAGGCTGACTCTCTTGGGAGTAAGAGGAAAACCCTCCTGCCTGACTGTCTTTGAACTCAGATATTGATTTTTTTCCTGCGTTTGCAATTGAACTGAAATATTGGTTCTTCCTGGGTCTGAGGACTACTGGCCTTGAGATTAGGACCACATCATTGGCTTTCCTAGGTCTGCCGCCTGCCAACTACAGATCTTGTGACTTGGTTTGCCTCTATAATCGTGTGAGCCAATTCCTTATAATAAATTCTCTCTCTCGTTCTCTCTCTCTCTATATAGGTTCTGTTTCTCTGGAGAATCCTAATGTAGTCTCTCAGGAACAAAAATATTTTGAATAGCTTAGAAGACTAATGGAATTCCAATTCAGAGTTGGTATTATTATAATTAGAATAGTTATTAATCAAATAGTATACAAAGTAATTTCTATGGTATATATACACATGAAGAGATTTATCATATATAACTGTCTCATGTGATTTTAAAGGCAAGCAAGTCCCATGATCTGCAGGATGAGTTGACAAGCTGGTGACCCAGGATAGCTGATGATTTAGTTCCACTCTGAGTTTGAAGGCCTAAGAACCAGGAGAGCTGATGGTATAGCTCCAGTTCAAAAACTTCCAGGCTCCAAATCCAGGAAAAGTTGATGTTTTAGTTCCAGTCTGAAGGCAGGAAGAAGCTGATGTCACAGCTCGAAGGCCATCAGAAAGGAAGCATTCTCTTTTACTTAGGAGATGGGCAGATTTCTGGTCTATGAAGGCCTTCAAACAATCAAATGGGGCCCACCCACAGCAGGGAGGGCAATCTGCTTTACTTAGTACTTCAATTTACATGTTAATCTCATCTAAAAACGCTGTCACAGAAACACTCAGAATAATGTTTGACCAAATATCTAGGCACTTCTTGCTCTAAGAAATTTGACACATAAAATTAACCATCATAGCTTCTAAGCAAGACAGAGTAACAGAAACTAGATTTACCCTTTTGCATGAAACAACCGAAATGAATGACATTGGATAGGAAACAAACAAATTGAGCCCTATGATTTTCCCAACTCATTTCCTTGAGAAAATTCCCCGGCCATGGCTCAGGGAGGAAAAACCCAGGCACAAGACCAGACATCCAATAAAAAAAATCAGGCATGCAAACAAGCAAAAGAAGAAATCCATAATGAAAAGAAAAATTGTTCAATTGAAACAACCTAGAACTGACATAAATGTTAGAATTAGCAAATAAAGACATTAAAAGAGTCATTATTACTGTATTCAATATGCTTGAAAAGTTGAGAGTTTTAATCTCTAGAAGATCATTTTGGCAATAATTCCCAAAATGATCTTCTAGAGTTGAAAACTACAATGTCTGAGATAAAAATACATTGGATGGGATTAACATCAGATTACATATTGTGGAAGAAAACATTAGTGAACATGAATACTTAGCAATAGATGTTATCCAAAATAAAACACACAAAGATTTAAAAAAATGAATAGAGTGTCAGTAAGCTGTGGACAACTTCATGTGTCCTGGAGTCCCAGAAGGAAGAAGAAGAAACAGAAAAAATATTTAAAGAAATAATGACTATAAACCCACAATTCCAAGAAGCTCAATAAACTTGCCACACACACACAGACACATGCACTAACCCATAGAGATAACCACATCAAGTTACATGATAATTCAATTGCTCCAAACTAGTGATAAAGAAAAATAAATCTCAGAAGCAGGCAGAGAAAATGGAGGCATTATGTACAAAAGAACACAGGTAAGAAAGACAACAGATTTCTTATAAGGAAAAATGAGATACAACTGAAATGTAAAGATGAGTGATAGATTTATTTTGCCTTGGGTCTAGAAATTTTTTAGCATATCTCTGTGAAAAGTAATTTTTAATTCAAACTAAGGTGTGCAGTTCCATTTCTTCCCAACGCTTCCACTAAAGACCTTTGTTCTGCTTGTCACTGAGCCAGTTGCTGCTGTTGCAGTCTACAGCTTTATATCCACAAAAATGCCCTTTGTATTTAGATCAGTGTATTAAAGGTCAGTTTTACTTTGTGTCAAGTTGCAGTATTTTCAGAATAACATTAGTTACTCAGCTTCTGATTTTTATCCTCTCTATTTCTCTATGATTTGATTGTCAGTAGATATTCTAAGTATTTGCACAACCTGGTACAAAAATGACTTCCCTAAAAGACATCCTGAGAAAAAACCTGAAGATGGTCCATGGTTATCCCATGGTCTACGCTTTTGCAAACAGCTGGGAAAAGGTTGAACAGTTCCACAGCAGACCAGATGACATCGTGATAGCCACTTACCCCAAATCAGGTGAGTTTTGTGGCCTGACAAATGCAGGTCTGACTTCAACCTTCATTTCCTGAAAATCAACTTCTCTATAAAATTATCATCCAAAATAAAATTAGTATTCCTATCAGTGAACCTAGCCATCTACTTTGAGTTTATTAAGATAGGTATTTGGGGCATAGAAAGGGAAACTGCAGAATTAAATTTCTAATGGAATTTATTAAGATGATAGGCTTACACCAGGTACTTTTTTCCCTCAGATGTAGGTGATGGTTATAAAAAATGTTTCCTTTTGCCACAGGTACCACTTGGGTTAGTGAAATTGTGGACATGGTTCTGAATGATGGAGATGTTGAAAAGTGTGAGCGAGATTTTATAACTGTTAAAGTTCCAATGTTGGAAATGGCTCTCCCTGAACTAAGAACCTCAGGTAATCTTAAACCACCTAGGAATTATAATTTTGTTATATTATTTATGTAGCTTACTAATTATGGTATTCGTGATTTCCATTCAAAGAAAATGGAGTAGATTTGGTGATATAAAATGAAAATTTGCAAGCAGTACCATAACTCAGGACAACAGAGAAAATGTGGTTTAGTTCACTGCATATCTGAGTATGGTAACCAAAGATGAAAGAGTTTTGTTGTAGAAAATAACTAAAAATTTGGTTGACCGCACAAAAAGTGCTCCTTATCTTTTATTGACTTTTATTGTGTAGAATTTGGCAGATTAGAGCAATAAGTTCCTAATTTAGGACATTTCTGTAGTTAAATAAGTAAAGAAATACCAATACCTCTTAGAACATAAAATTTATTATTAATACAATTCAGTTTTTACTCCAAAAATATTTACTGAGTGCTTCTAAAGAATTATGTACTGTGCTATGGCCTAGATAGAAAGTAATTAGTAAATTATACGCCCTATCCCCAAGGAGCTCGAAGTAATATTGTGACATTAAATAAGTAAATAAGGGGGGCGGCCCCATGGCTGAGAGGTTAAGACCACCAGTCTGCATCGTGGGTGCAGACCTGCACACTGTTCATCAGGCCATGCTGTGGTATCATCCCACGTAGAAGAACTAGGATGGCCTACAACTAGGATATACAACTATGTACTGGGGCACTGGGGAGAAAGAGAAAAAGAAAAAAACGGAGGAAGATCGGCAACAGATGTTAGCACAGGGCCAATCTTAAAAAAAAAAAAGTAAATAAACTAACAATAAGTGGACGTTATTAGTCTTACATATGCAAAGAATGGGGCTCTATGAAAGAGAAAAACAAGAAAGTTTGCTTTAGATTGGATATTTAAGGATATTGTAGGGACCTGGAAATGGCCACCCCAAGATATGTCTCTTTGGCTGGCCTCAGGATTATTTGAGGCTGATTGCTTTTGATAAACTGGGACAGGGAAGGAGGCTCTGAGGAAAGGAACCTGCCCTTTGTTAGGACACTTACATTTGTAAAGTAAATCTCTGTCTGTAAAAGGTGCCTCCCTCTCTGTACCAGGAAGAAGAAAGGAGATGACCTTCTCTCTAGAAACTCTTGATCTGTGCCAAAGGCAAGGACTTAAATCTGCATTTTATTGTACTTGTCTGGTAACCTCCTATAACTGATTTCCCTCTCCCTCCCAATGTTGGCATTTCTTTAAGGATTAAGCATCTTTCCTTAGGCTAGGAACTGATTGCTGCGCTCACCTGTGACCCCTCAGTTCAAGACAATAGACTTGCCTCCTGCTACGCCCACTGAGACAGCAGACCACTACCTGCTGTGTCCATCAAGCGCTGTGCTGACAGGGCAATCTTGTGACTATTGTGGGAAGGATATTTCAATCATATGTGAAACACCCTGTTTGGGGGTATATAACCACTCTGTGCACCCCACTTCTTTGGCGCCCTTTCTTCCTTTGGGAAGAAATGCCCCGGGCCATGGTTCCTCATAAAGTTTTACTTAATTTTTTCTTGCTATTCTTTCTCATGTGAATTTAATTTGTTCTTCGGCCAGACGAACCCACATTTGGGAAGAGGAAATGTCTTCCTCCCCTACAATATCTACTATGAATTGAGATCTAAAATTGTGCACACAGTTGGGAAAGTGTATTTCTGGAAGGTGAAGTATTTGGTATGAAGACCTAGATGCTGAAAAGAACCTGATGTAGTCCAGGGACTAAAAAACAACAACTACCACCACCAAGAACAACAGCAATAAAAAAGGGAAAAGTGAAGTGCAGATCAGTTGGAGTCTAGACAGTGACAGATCGTGTAGGGCTTGCAATTCTTAAGAAATACTCAATGAGCTACAAGAGAATCTGAAGAGCATGATGTTCTGTAGGCAGGTGAGAAGGGTTCAAGAAGTGAAGTCTGGCTCTCAAATGCTGCTGGAAACCTGAGAAAAGATGACAGAAGTGTTGTGGTGAATGTGTATATCGATTTAAAGAGTAGAATCCAAATTCTGTCTCTTAATGGAGCTAGTTGCTTCCACAGGCAGAGAAGGACCAACTGGGAGGATGTCATTCCTTCTGTGTGGTTACCTGAAGTCAGAGAGCAAATGCTAAAGCTTGGAACTAAAGGACTATTCTGGGACAAGCAACCAAAATGAGTGCAAGAGTGAATTATGGTTGCAGAACCATAGAAAAGTATGAAACGAGAAAGTGATAGAATTAAAGTAATCAGGGTCAAGGAGTCAGGGATTACTGATGGGAGACAAAGGTTGAGGGTGGGGATTGAGGCTGTGTAGCATCACCAGAGTGTGTAGGTGAGGTTCAGCAGGTAAAGGAGGGTAAACCAGCATTCAAATTTACTCTGAGCCTGAATGTGGATACTTGCAATGTTATTACATACTCCCCATATTCATACTTTTGCATGAGAATGGTTCATTTAAAGGAACTCACATGGCAAAACAATTACAAGACAGAAGACATTGAGAAACCTTTCAATGAAGTTGAGGGAGAAAAGAGGAACCACAGATCTGGGAAAAACTTTATAAGAGAGCCAGATATAAAAGTTCATGTCATGAGCATTGAGGAATAGTGAGTTGTGGAAGATTATGTTTCTCATTCCCACATGATAGTGTCGATGAAAATAATCCATAACCAATCTATAAATGAAAATTTGGGTGAGTTTATTCTGAACTTAAATCTTAGGATTATAACCCAGGAGAGTCTTTCCACAAAGTAACAGAGCACTCCAAAGAAGTGGGGGTACACAGGGTGGTGATATACCCTCAAAGAGGGTGTTTCGCATGTGATTGGAATGTCCCTCCCACAATAGTCACAAGATTGCCCTGTCGGCACAGCACTTGATGGACACAGCAGGTAGTGGGTCTGCTATCTTGGTGGGCGTAGCAGGAGGCAAGTCTATTGTCTCAAGCTGGGCAGTCACAGGTGAGCACAGCAATCAGTTTCTAGCCTAAGGAAAGATGCTCAATCCTTAAGGAGATGCCAACTGTTGGGAAGGGGAGGGAAGTTGCACCTTTATCTCAAGGGCCTTTGCTCTTGCCATAGGGAATCTCTAAAGCACATATACAATGCACGCTGAATGGCCTCAGTCAGGCCCTTTTGGAAAGACAAGGTCAGGCTGAATTAGGTTTACACCAAATGGCTTCCTCATATATTCCAATACATCCTATTACTTGCCATTTTTATTTGTCACTAGGTAAAGTTGTTGTAGCTTCCAGGCCAGTAGAAGCATGATGAAATATCTGGTGGAATTTTAAATATGTAGAATTAATGCTTCTGATAAAATTCAGGATACCCAATTAAATTGAAATTCAGATAAGTTGTTGTTTTATTTAGCATAAGTACTTCCCAAATATTGCATGAGAGATATTTACACTAAAAGGATTCTGTTGTTTATCTGAAATTCAAATTTAACTGGGATACTTACATCTTTATTTCCTAAGTTTGCCAACCCTATCTGTACTGATATTAAGTTCTTCTTAATACAGCATGTGCTATGCATTGTTCTCCACAGAATAACCATTGGTGAACTGAATAAATGACATTCCTGCACTTATAGAATCCCCATTCTAGTGTGTGTGTTTGGGGATGGGGTTGGGGAAGAGGCATGGGAACTGACAATAAACAAACAAATAAGTAAATAGACTAGTAAACAAAAATAAGTGTTATGTAGAACATTTAAAAAGATGTTTTACTAGAGAGAGACTGAGTGGCTTCTTAGCACATGTCATAAATTATTCTAAACAGTTGAAGCATAAAATTTCTTTGAATGAGTGAGTCAGCTACAATTTTGTGCAGGTGTGCCTTCATATGCAAAAAGTGGGAAGATAATGTAGGATTAACACGTAATCTGGAAGTCAGACTGGATATAAGTATATCGTGAAAAAATGCGTGAGACTTTTAGATTTATTGGATGTGAAACCTGAAGGAGAAGACAACAATAATTGAGATTTTAAGGGTTGGAGACTAAAGGAGATGACACCGTTAAAGATATATCTGGGATGAGATAAAAGCCACTGGTCCGTTAAAAGAATAGTAAGTTAAAAGGGTTAGCCCAGGGGCCGGCCCCGTGGCCGAGTTGATAAGTTCACGCACTCTGCTTTGTGGGTTCAGATCCTGGGCATGGACATGACACGGCTCATCAAGCCATGCTGAGGCGGCATCCCACATGCCACAATGAGAAGGACCCACAACTAAAAATACACAACTGTGTACCAGGGGGGCTTTGGGGAGAAAAAGGAAAAATAAAATCTTAAAAAAAATAAAGGGGTCTAGCCCATCTCTCCCTAGTCTATGTCAAAAATTCTTTGAGTACGCTTTTACCCCGAAAGTGCCTTCAGATTGGCCAAGTCACTTATCTAGTGAGATCCAGGCCACTGGGATCTTCCTAATTCTGAACGTAGAAAATAAATGGAAACTTTCTGCCTCAGGACAGGTCATATATCTCTCATTCAAAGACTTAATTTCTATCCAAGTCCTACCATGTATTAGTTGTATGACTTTGGAGAGTTCAGCTAACACCTAAAGATTGCACAACATTTTCATTTTGCATATATATATATATATATATATTACACATATATACGATACATAAAGTAAATAATGAAAATGCAGATACAATAGCCGATGCTATGCAAAAATAACCTCATCCACACTATAATAGCTGATGCAAAACAATAGCCCATGTGAGGATTACTAATTATCCCTATCTCTTTAACACTCAGAAAACGTTTTTATAATCATTTATAATAATGCACAGCTATGATGAAACTCCAAATTGCTAAGGTTGGTACTATTCCTTCCTGTTTTGGAGGTGGAGAAAGTAAAGCATAGAGATTGGCATACTTTCAAATGTCTCGAGATGAGGAAGTGATAGACATAGAATCTGAACCTTAGGAGGCTATCCTCAGAATGTAGGCCTTTAATGATTACACAATATTGCCTCTTTGAATCAAAATAAGTCATGCCTGTGATTGGCTCAAAATTTAGCAGCCTTATAAACTGCTCAAAAATATTTTGAAAAGTTGGTTGAGAAAATCAGGAAATGAAGGCTCTGTAAAGACTTTAATATCTCTAAACACCAAATTAAATTTTCCCAGGTATAGAACAATTAGAGAAGAATCCATCACCCCGCCTCGTGAAGACACATCTACCAATTGATCTCCTTCCTAAGTCTTTCTGGGAGAACAACTGCAAGGTATATTCTAGGCTGCAAGTCAATTTTCTAATGTTTCCCGACCCCTTTATTCAGTCACATAGTAAGTAATTGCTCAAATGTTTCATTTACTTGTTACCATGAGAACTAAGCTACATAAGAAAGTATTTCAACTAAACATATATATATTTTAGTCTAAACCTACATACTCAAATTTTCCATATTTACGTAGCAATAGGCTCCTTATCTCAGCACAATATTGTTACTTTCATTCCCAGGTGTCCCTAACATTCTTTCATTCTTTGAAAACTCAACATAAGGATGTCGGTTCTTATTTGATTGTTTGGTAAAATTCTCCAGTGAGACATTTGTGCTTGGATATTTGATTTTGGAAACTTTTAAATATGAAATTCAATTTGTTCAATAAATATGGTGATAATCAAATTATCTATTTCATCTTAGCTGACTTTTACTAGCTTGTGATGTGTGAGGAATCCCAAGTTGTTGAATTTTGTAATGAAAAGGTTTTTATAATATTCCCTTCTTATTTTTTCTTTTAACAAACTTTTTTTACAGAAATTTTATTTATTTTTAGGGCAATTTTAGGTTCACAGCAAAATAGAGAGGAGAGTGAAGAGATTTCCCGTATATCCTTGCCTCTACACGTGCATAGAACCCCCATTATTAACATTTCCCACCAGAGTGGTATATTTGTTACAACCTATGAACCTACACTAACACATCGTCATCCAAAGTCCATAATTTTTATGAGTTCATTCTTTGTGTTGTGTATTCTATGGATTTGGACAAATGTATGATGACATATATATACAATTATAGTATCATGTAGTGTAGTTTCACTACCCTAAAATTCCTCTATACTCTACTTATTCATCCCTCTTTCCTCCCAACACTGGTAACAACTGATCTTTTTCTTGCCTCCAAAGGTTTGTGTTTCCCAGAATATCATATAGTAGAATCATACAGCCTTTTCAAACTGTATTCTTTCACTTAGTAATATGCATTTAAGGTTCTTCCATGTCTCTTCATAGCTGGATAGCTCATTTCTTTTTAGTGCTGAATAATATTCCGTTGTCTAGAAGTACCACAGTTTATTCATCCATTCGTCTACTGAAGGACATCTTGCTTTCTTCCAAGTTTTGGCAATCACGAATAAAGCTGCTATAAACATCCATTTGCAAGTTTTTGGGTAAACTTTATTTTTCAGCTTCTTTGTGTAAATACCAAGTAGTGTAATTGCTAGATCGTACGGCAAGAGTATGTTTAGTTTTTTTAAGAAATTGTTAAAGTTTCTTCCAAAGAGCTGTACCATTTTGCATTCCCTCCAACAATGAATGAGGATTTCTGTTGCTCCACATCCTCACGAGGATTTGATATTGTCAGTGTTCTGAATTTTAATCATTCTAATAAATTGTTTTAATTTGCATTTCCCTGATGACATATGATATGGAGCATCTTTTCATACTCTTATTATTCGTGTAATAATTGCAAGATTTCTCATGATACCACCTGTTTTTTTCTTGATATTAGTTTTTTGTGTCTTCTCTCTTTTATTTTGTCACTTGCTAGGTGATTATCAATCTTATTGATTTTTTAAAAAGAGATGTTTTTTGTTTCATTAATTTTCTCTAATGTTTTCCTATTTTTTAATTTCATAGATTTCAAATATGTTGTTTTACTTGCCTGTATGTTAATTTTTTTCTTAAATACAATATTATCCATTTAATTTTCTTCCTCCTGCCCCTGCAGATGATTTATCTGGCTCGAAATGCCAAGGACGTTGCTGTCTCATATTACCATTTTGACTTAATGAATAATATGGAACCTTTTCCTGGCACTTGGGGAGAATATCTGGAGAGATTCTTGACTGGAAAGGGTAGGTAGGCCTTGGCTTAAAATTAATAAGTAATTATTTTATTATTAATAATATTAACTGTAACTAGTATGACTTTTTCCTTTCAAAACACTTATTTTTCCAAGTCAGTAACAAGTACATTAAAATTCTATTAAAAATTACATCAAATAAATCTAATATTTTACTATGACATACAATATACAAACTTGGTATTAAACACTGGCTTAATAAAAATATTCTCAAGTTTATTTCATTTGCTAGAAATCCATTCTCGGTTCCTGCTCACAATAGAAATTAACTTGCTCAAATCATTAGTTACATCTATTATATATATATTTATGGTACTCAGATAAATAATTGATATGATTACTTCATAAAAGCATAATTTCCTTCTGTGTGAGGCTAAGTATAACGTATTGGAGGTCAATGTATTTTCATTTGAAATTCTTCCTTTGTACTTTATATATTTTTTTTCTAATCTGATTTTTTGTATATCAATAATGGCTGATTTTATTTTTTTAATTGGCCTTATATTCTCAGTTCCCTTAGTTACTAAAACATTTCCCAAAATGTTTTTACCATTTGACATATTGTTCAGAAGCAAATCTTTAATTTGATGAATGCTATGGAAATAGACTCTTTCTCTGGTTTTAGTGGCCTATGGTTCCTGGTTTAATCATGTTAAGAGCTGGTGGAAGAAAAAGGAAGAACATCCAATACTTTTCTTGCACTATGAAGATCTGAAAGAGGTAAAATGGTAGAAATTCATTCTGGATAATTCCTCTACTACATTCTGGGGTAAAAGGATTAGTATATACTTATATATTAATATATATTTTTCAGCTTAATCTATGGAGTCCAAAATGGTATGATTGCTTTACCTATTCTCCATGCCCTCTTACTCAAATCTTGCTAAGATCATTAATGACTTTCTAATTGTGAAATCAACCACATTTTTATTCCTCTTATCATTTTTAACCATTGTGTTTATTTTGAGCACCTTTTCCTTTTGAAATTCTTTCCTACTTTTAACAGATTATCACACTCTCATGATTTTCCTGTGGATCTCCATCTATCTTTTGGTCATTCTTCTTTTTGAGCTGTTTGCTGTATTTCGATGATTACATCCATACCCACTGTTGCTGAAACTATTTATGTGCTGATGACTCCCAAAAAACTGCATTTTAACTTCTACCCTGAATTCAAACCCATGCTTTTATTAAAATGACCCTCAAATTTAACATGTTCAAAACTAAACTCATCTTGCTTTCCTTTCTCCAACATGTAACCCTTTTCTTCTTTTATTCTCTCTTTCAGTTAATGATATTATTTGTCCATTTGAAAGCAAATTATTCTCATTGGCCTCCATATAGTGGATATGGTTCTACTGTATCCTGAACATTCCACTGGTTCACATGCTGTACCTATTATATCTTTCAAATGTGTCCCCCAACTTTACTTTCTTACTATCTTCCTCTTGGTTCAGGGACTCATATAAGTGTTCATCTAGTCTCTTGTATGAACTACTATTAGGTCAAATACTACTGCAAAGTTCCAGGCCTATTCTGGGGCTATTCTACTTAAATTAGCCAAATTCACTCACACACATGCACACACACGCACACACACACACAGGGAACTATGTGGAAACCATGTTCCTCTAGTTGTAAAAGCCTGAGCATGCAAATGAAGATAATTTTAGGCTTTCAGATTCATAATAGAAGGTACAATATCTATTGTTGTTGTAATTGCATCTGCAGTACCTAGTATAGTACCCACCAAGTAAATAGGGCCTCAATGATTACCTGTTGTATGAATAATTCATCGCTTGAATGAATGAGTGAGCAGTAATAACAAACACTTTAGTTTTGCGTGACAGAAATCCATCCCACTTTGCATAACAGAAATCATGCCCCATGTAAACTCTCCCTTGCTCCAAGCATTGCTGAGAGCCCCCCCCCAGAGCATTTCTCACATCTTATCAAAAAGAGAGTTTTCCTGCTCTGCCCAGGCTCCCACCTTCCATCACACTTGTTTGCAGCCTATAAGAATCTGCTGTTTAAACCCTACCATTGCACCTTTACGCAGGACTTGAGGCAGTTAACGTCAAGTTGCTGGCAATACATGGTTACAAAACTGAATTTTATAAAAGCGCTTTTAAAAAGTGGTCATATTCCTTGAGCGTTTAATTAGCTAGAGTTAAATTAAGAATTCTTCATAAGAGAAAAATTTGTCCTTCTGTACCAAGTGTCTCTCTTTACTTCATGGACACCAGGATAGCATTCATTAGTGTTATCAAAAGAGCAATTTTAGCTTCTGAATATAGTCTCTTTTCCCCATAGGATGGGAAAATACATCTCCTTGGCTAGACTAGTATCCAAATTCTGAGTCACACACCATGCTGTCCCCCATGTGACACTCTCGTGTCAACCATTTCTCTCCGCATGCATCTAAACTGTTTTATTCAAATCAACTCATTCATATTGATTTACAGTCTGGCCTAATCAGCTTTATAAGCATATCTAGATATTTTGAATTCCACTCAAACACTCTACATACATCATATTTAGTAGATAATGTTTTTCTCCTGTCATACAGTCATTTTTAGACAATGTTTTATAATGAGGTTTAATATAACAACTATAGAACAAAATTATAATTATATATCAAGAAAAAAATTCAGAGAGAAGTTTAATTTACATCAGGTTTATGAGTATCTCCATAAATTCTCTGTCAGTGAGGTGAAAGAGAAATATAGCACAAGAAGAGTCAATAGGAGCCAGCACTCTCTGCTTTAACTTCTGCTGGTCTGTAAACTAAAATCATCATTGATACTTTGGCAGTGGCCATATTATTCTCTAAACACTTTGAATCCCTAACAGAAATTACTATTTGCCTGTCCATCTATGCTCTTTCCTAGTACCACTACTAACTTTTCTTTTGGCCTTTTCTCCACTATCATCATTTCTGACCTTTTACTCATTCTAACCACTAACACCCCTTAGGTAGCATTGTCATTCTTCTCTCACAGATGTCTTCTCATGGAGGCCTTCCCTTATAGGGAATTCTTTGCCAAAACATACACACATGTGTACATGTACACACATACAGCTAATAAGACACATTCTTAAATGCTGTTTCTTCTCTACTGCATAACAGGTAACAGTCCTAACCCTTCACCAGGACATCCAAGGATGTTCTCAATTTTATCTCAATTCATCTTCCTACTTTTATAGTCTCTCTCACTCTTATGAACAACTCAAACCTACTCCAACCACTTTGCTTTTTCTCTCCCTTGAACACACCATGACACCTTATACCTCCAAGAATTTTAACTATTTTCTCTACTTGAAATTCACTTCTCAACATCTCAGCACCCCACATCTTTCTGACTTATCAAATTCTGACTTATCTTTTTCAAATCACTTAGATATTACCTCCTCAAATCTCTGTAGACATATCCATGCAGATTTTAGTTTAGCTTCCTAAAAATTTCCAATATCAAGTTTATGTCATTGGAATCTTTAAAATGATCCATTCCTCAGATTTTTTTTTATCCTCCATGGTTAATGAATAATTTAGGTCTTGATATCTTTGCAACTTCATTGGAGTTTATTTTTAATTATTTATATGCAACCAAGGTCTAATCAGTATTTATAGAGGCAAATATACTTGAAGTTGTTTATTATTACTTTTACTTTTTTAAATATTATTAAACACAAGAAAGAAATTTTGATTAAGAACAGGAAAATAAAGTCAGGAAGAATACAAAGATACTAGGTGCCTAAAACATTCACAGTTCAAATCTGATCACAAATTGAGCTTAAAATAGCTGTTGTGATTTTTTTCTCTAAATATTGTTACTATTTAGCTCGAAGCTTGTTCTTATTGTACTTTGAATGTAAACTAAAAATGCAAGATTTAGAATAAACAAAATATTTCCATTGTATTTTTGCTCAACATAAATTATTGATTTTTTATGATTAAATTTTGAAAAAAATTAGCAGACCCAACCAAATATGAATTCAATATTCAGAATCAACATTTAAGAAAACAAATTATAAATATTATAGTTTTTCTCATTATGTTAATAATTTACTTGTTTACCATTTTCTTGGATATATCTCTTTACCCACTGATAGAATCCAAAGCAGGAAATCAAGAAGATTGTTAGATTTCTAGAGAAGAACCTGAATGATGACATTTTGGATAAGATTGTCCACCACACCTCATTTGAAAGGATGAAGGATAATCCTCTGGTGAATTATACACATCTACCAAGTGCAGTGATGGATCACAGCAAATCCTCTTTTATGCGCAAAGGTGAATATTTTGCTGAGTTTAATTTCCCTTTTTCATTTTTTATAAATTACTCTGAAATGATGATTAGTTTTGTGATCTCTACCAAGTTACTTAGCCAGTTTTGGCATCAAGTTTTTCATCTGTAAAATAAGGACACTAAAAATGCCTGTGGCAAAAAGTTACTGTATTAGATTAGAAATTATTAAAGGAAATAATGCATGTAAACCTGTCATCAGAATACTTTGAGAATTTGATACATATTTCTTCTGCTATTTACTACTCTGATAAATGGGAGTGGTTTTGTTGATTCTGGTGTGAGTTATTCCAAATTTGTTGTTCCTAAATCTTAAATCTTTGTCTAAATTGGCATAGACCTCTTTCTCCTCGTCAGTGATAAACTAATGTCACTCAGTATAATACTATCTTCTTTAAAGACCCTGTATCCTTTAGAAAACAGCAGTCACTTTGTTAAGAAGCATTCACCAAGAAAAAGGGCATTATTTTCACCCTATGGGAAGTTTTTGCTTCCTAAAAATACTGTCTGAATTATAGGCAGTGTGGAATCTAAATTTAAATTAGAAAGATGATAATATAGGAATATGACATTCACTGGTGAAATACAACTTTATTCCGCTGAAGTAAATCCTGTGTGTTTTGTGTAAAAACGTTTTGTTAATGATAAAAATAATACATTTAACAAATTAAACAAATTTAAGAAGCTATCCATGTAATAATGCCACCCCCTATTTTTAATGTTCTTTATTGAATTGGAGAGAAAGAGGTAGAATTTCAATTGGTGTGCTAGGAAGTAAACATAATCTTGGGAATGTATTGTACATATGAACACGTGGATGAAAATTCTCGATTTTGGCAGTTATATTTTTTTCTAAAACATGTTTCTCCATAACTTATTAAAATAGCAAATGGTCTCAGTGTTTTCAAATTATGTTTTTTAAAATTTTCAGAAACAACCTCCATTACAAGAGGGCAAAACAAATTTTTTATTGTAAATGGTGCATTGTAAGATTGAACAAAGATGAATACACACACACACACACACACACACACACACACACACACTCTCCTGGTGGAAGAATCAGGGGAAAAATATCTCCTGCATTAAACAAGGCAAATTCTCCTTATGCCAGATCATTGGATGTAATCTTTTATCCCCAGTCATATGAAAATTGATACCATCCCATGATATCTCATTAGGGCATAGAGATAGAGAAGATAAGCTCACTATCTGGATTCTACGGTTTCACCAACTACAACAGAAAAGACTGTATGCTGGTCTAATAAGAAGAACAGTCTTGCATCCCTCTGGAAGTCATAAAGAACAGATTCTTTATGGTCAGATTGAACTAGGGTTTTTCCAGGCTATGCCACTCCCTGAAACCATGATTTTGAACACATTAATTAATTTGCCAAAGTTTTGGTTACATCACTGACAATATGAAGAAAGTAATAACACCTATGACCCAAGCTTTTGGGGAAGATTATGGAAACTGATATGTAAGTGTTTGGAATATTTTTCTGACCATAAATAATACATACAAAAACAGCAAGTCCTATTAGTCTAAACAGTTCAAGATTTATCTATCCATTTCTTCATTTGTGCATCCAGTAAACATTTAAAGAATACCCATTCATTCATTTATCCACACATAGGAAAGCTCTTCATGAACACGTATATGTGGCACATATTCTCTGGAACAGGCAGGGATGAATGACACATGCGCCTGCCTTAAGAAGCTTAGTATGTAATGCAATAGGCATGCATGTGAATGGATGCTGAAGAGGACTCACAATGAAGTGTGGACAAAGGTCCAGGCACAGTCAGTCTTGAAGGATGCTATGTTGGATAAATCAATGTCATAATTTAGTAATACAATAGTAAAGGTAGTAGAGAAAGGACAGATGACATTCAATGTTTGTACCAATTTTCAATTGCAACAAAACAGAAAAATCTGGGCATTGGACAACATTGAGTTTATCAAAAACTTTTATACTTCCCTTACTTTTGTGAAGCGAATGTGTTTGTGTATATTATATAATTTATACTCAAAATAGAAGATCATTTGAATAGTTTATATATAACTCTTTATTGTTAATATCTGTGTCCTCTGTTTTAAATGACATCTTTACAGATATATTATCTCAAATATACCCTACCCCCACATACATTCCAAAGAGCTTTTGCCATCTGGTGAACACAGAGCAAAGTATAATAACCAGGGAAGCAACCTTGTCTATGGGGAGGTTTTCATTAAAAGGATTGGAAATATTCATCAACACATCATGGGCTAATATAGCTTGCAGTTCAATAGCATATATTTAAAATTTCATAAACAGAAAAAGTATGTGGTTTTCTCCAAGCATATTGGCAGTCCATTAAGAATTTATTTTTCGAATAAGTATTTATAAACATCCAAGTATAAGAGGTTAAATGTAAATTTATCACCCAAAAGTTTTACTTTGGTAAAGATGATTCAGTCATGTTATATGTTTGATTTTAATGCTATTCTTCTTCTCTGAAATGCAAATAAAGTATAAGTCTAGTAAACTCAGGAAAAAACAATTATCCTCCAAATATCACACTATCCTTATTTATAAAATCTGGGAAATCAGCTTTCTATTTCTGGTTTGGCTGTGCTGATAACCAGCCCTGTACAGTTTCCAGAACTAACTCATGAGACAAAATATTCCCTGTCCACTGATCCAGTGTCCAGTAGTAACCCCACAAGCCAGGACAATTAGTAACACTAAAGGAATCTCCTTCAGGAAACTATTGTACCAGCCCATAAACTTAGATAAGAAAATTAGCCCTTCTCAGAATCTATCTTTAAAAGTGAGACTCTGTTCAGTTATAAGCCACCTGCCTAAATGGAAAGAATTACCAATAAGACAATTGCTATTTTAAATTTTTCAAATACAAAGCTAACTCTTTAACTCTTCTAAACCTTTCTATTTGTATACATTAGCGTTTCCTTCATAATGGAAACGTTTTATTCTTTCAGCTGTTTTCTTATTTGCTATTTTTAGGGATTGCAGGTGACTGGAAGAATTACTTCACAGTGGCCCAAAATGAGAAATTTGATGCCATTTATAAGAAGGAAATGTCTGGAATTGCACTTCAGTTCCGCATGGAGATTTAAAGGACGGGAGCTGCAAATCTGAAGAAAGAAGAGCTCACCTGTAATTTTTTGAAACAGGGACAGATATGACTTGGGCAATCAAATGGATTTATAAAGGAGAGAATCTGCTTTTAAAGCTTTGATTTTTCAATGTCATTAACTTAGTTCTCAGTTTTGCTCCAGACCAAGCTTCTAAATTCCCTAAAGTTAGGGCCAATTGCTACCTTTTTTGTAGATTATTTCTGCCTTTTCCTAGACTAATGCTGATGAGAGAGAAAGTATTTATTCTACTCAATCTCCATATATTATGACTTAAGATTGAGTTCCCCTCCCTATTAACATGGCCTAAAAAATACTGTTCTCACACTGACAATATATTTCCTAACTCTGCCCCAGTTTCCATTTTCTGAAAACTTGACCCAGGACACTCTGTTCCACTGCTGTCTCCTGGGTTTTATGTTGTTCCCTGAGTCATAGCCCATCTTCTTGAAGCGTTTCTACTTGGATAACATTGTTCATGTTCCAGATCATTTGGTTCAGTTTTTAGAAACGCTGTTTCTATGCCTAATTTCGAAAGTATCCAAATTTCTTATTGCTGAAAATATAGTTTCTGAGTCTCCAAAGGTGAAAGGTCTACATTAGTCTCCCTCCAGCTCTTCCCTGGGAATGGGAACTCTGCTCTGAGAGCCTGGACTAAGGGCTGGAACCTGTTTCCTGTGAAGTCCTTCCAGATCTCAACAGCCTCTTCTGAACTTCAGAGAATCACCTATTGCCATGCTCTGGTCACCATTTGGGAATTTCAATTACTTCATCCTGTGTCTGAACAGATTTGGATCCCCTAACAGCACCTAGAATACCCCAGATAAGATCATAGCTGCTGCTAAGATTTCCCAATCTGGTGCCTAAGGGAGACTCTCTAGGCTCAATCTCCACTATGCCCTCTAGACCCAAGGTCCCTTCTATCTACTGTTCTGCACGTATGCTTATCAACAGGCTCTTTGCAAAATGTTTCCTTGGAACATTTATTTCTCAACTCCAGCTTTGCCTTAGATGTAATTGTTTATATCTCCATGTGCAGACTTTTGCTTGCAGATCATATTGGCATGTGCCAAATTACATACCAAGCCCAAGTTCTCAAACTCAAGGTTTGTTAGCATGTCCTGGGCCCATACTTGTTCTGGAAAGGAGATCTGCCATATTATAGACCCCTTCAGCCATAACTGAGATAGCTACGATAATTTGATTACAATATTTTGCCTTCTCAGATGAATATCTATCAGCCTTTGCAGCTGGAATAGCTCCTCAAGCCTGTAACATCTCTCTTCCCCAACACCAGCGGGGGATTGATCTAATGCCAACAGCAAATCTCCTAGCAGTGGTATATCCATGATCCTGGAGATAGTTATTTTCAGAGGTTTATTATAAAATGTATTATACATTATTTGAGCACATGAAACTTGTGTCTATGTTCCTTAGAAAATGTTCAGTAATAGATAATCTTGAGCACCTAGGGGTATTATGAACTAGTTCCAGCTTTCTAGAATATTCTTGGCAACAAGGAAGTAAAGCCGATCATATATCTATTTGCTTTATTATCTTTATTAATAATAAATTAATGTGGTATGGACTTCTGATACTATGGTCTATTTTTTAAAGAAATTAAATATCTCTGAGCTAGTCTTTAATCTGTGTAATAGATTGGTTGCACTAACTGCCTTCACTAGCTGCATGAAATAATTTCACTTTCTCTAGTTTTCCTTTGTGGGAATAAATCTCTGTAACTGGACTTTATTCAAAAAATTTGAGTAAGTTGTAACTATGCCCCAAATATTTTTCTAGGTACTTGAGAAAAAAAAAGTAGAATTTAGATTTTCCTTTACCTTTCTTACAAGTTGCTACCTCGTATCCATTCTTTATTCTCTGATTCACTGTGGTTCACTCTCTCATCAGCTCACATTTCATACCACACTGTAGCAGTCCTACTAGAATTCCAGATTCAGAAGTACCTGATATCCTTTGAAATCACTCAGAAAACTGCCACAAAATTTTTCCTAAAACAATGATTTTATCATTATTTCTCCTATTCAACAATCATCAGTATAATTTTCAAAAAAAAAAGTTAGAGTAATCTCATTCTATTTTTCTCTAACCAAAGCATGTGATATAAAGAAAGTGTCAGCAAGTATTTGGCACTGACGTGATTACTCCCTCATCCATGGCACCTCAATAATCACACTTCAAATATAAATAAATAAATATTTGGAATTGTAACAACCCACTTCTAAATAACACAGGAGTCAAAGACGTCTCAAGAAAAATTCATTTCACACTAAATGAAAATGAAAATACAACATCAAAATTTGTGAGATGCAGTGAAAGCAGTGCTTAGAGGGAAATCTATAGCAATAAATGTATATATGCATAGAAGTAAGATCTGAAATCAATAATTGAAGTTTCCAACTTAGGAAAAGAAATAAAGGGCAAATTAAAGAGAAAATAAGCAGAAGAAAAGAAATAATAAAAATTAGTGTTGTTAAAATTCCAAATATTTGAAGATTTTGCAGCTTGCTTGTTGATTTCTAGTTTAGCTTCACTGTCATCTAAAAACACACTTTGTTTAACTTCTGGTCTTTAAAAAGTATTCAGATCTGTTTCCTGCCTCAGAGTGAAATCTATTTTGGGGAATACTCCATGTGAATTTGAGAAGAATATTTATTCTGTTCTTCCTGGATGAAGTAGTCTGTAACTGTGGATTACATCAAGTTGATTGACAATGCTCTTCATGTCAACTATATTCTTATTAATTTTTTGCCTACTTGATCTATCAGTTACTGATAGGAGGGTATTAAAGTCTGTGAGTCTAATAAATTTGCCTACATCTCTTTGAAATTCTGTAGATTTTTGCATCAAGAATTTTGATGTTCTATTGCTAGATGTATATCTGTTTAGGATTGTTATATCTTCTTGGGAAATTGATCCTTTTATCATTATGAAATGATCCCCCTTACCCTGATAATTTTTCTTGTTCTTAAAAGTGTTTTGTCTGAAATTAATACAGTTACTCTAGTTTTCTTTTTATTAGTGTTAAAATGGTATATCCTTCTCCATGCATTTTCTTTTAACTTTTCAGGGTCTTTATGTTTAAATGTGTGTGTATGTTTTGTAGAAAATATACATATTTTTTATATATTCTATATACACACATGTGCACAAACACACACAAACTTTGAAAATCTCTGTCATTTAATTGGTATGTTTATACCATGCTTATATGAAGTGTTGCCAGAGGTTGTTTTTCCACCTTTCTCTGATTTTAACTAAGCATTTTACATGACTCCATTTTATCTCCTTTCTTAGCATATTGATTATGCTTATAAAAATATTTTGCAGTCACCCCAAAGTTTGCAATATAGATTTTTAACTAACCGAAGTCTACTTTCAAAGAATACTATTCCAATTCACATGTAGTTCATGTAGTTTATAAGAGAATATTCCCAATTCTTCTCTCCCATCCCTTGTAACATTGCTGTTGTTCATTTCACTTATCTGCATGCTCTAATCACCCAATACAATGTTACTATGATTATAACAAACAGTCATCTTTTAGATAAATTAACAAAAAGAAAAATATAAGATTTTATTTTATCTTCATTGATTCCTTCTCTGATGCTCTCCCTGCCTCTATATAGACCCAACTTTCTGACATATATCATTTTTCTTATGTCTGAAGATAATCATCTAACATTTTTTACAGAGAAGGTCTGTTCAAAATGAATTCTCTCAGTTTTTCTTTGTCTTGGAAAGTACTTTTCCTTCATTTTTGAAAGCTAATTTTTCTAGGTATAGAATTCCAGGTTCATTTTTTTTTCTTTCAAGTCTAAATATTTCACTTCACACTCTTCTTGTTTCCATGGTTTCTGATGGGAAATTGCTGTAATTCTTATCCTTGCAATTTCTAGTTTTTATTGAAAAAGAGTTAGTCTTCAGTTTTTAATCTAGATAACACACTCAGAACTTTGCATGAGATTTTTGGACTGGAATTTTGTCCAGTGAAAATACGCTAAATCTCTTGCTGTCTCGGGGGGTAACAATGGTTAACTTCTATTATATTTTCTCAAATGTAAGCATGGATGTAAGAAAAAAGGCAAACATTCTAAAGGTTTCCATATTTTGTAAACTCTCAAGGACTCAGGCACAGTCAGTGCTCTCCATGTTGTCAGCCAAAACCAAAACCAGCATTGTTTGTTATCCCTGTGTCCACTGGCTCATTCTACCAGTTTAACCTGTGCAATACTTATCACTATAAATACAAAGTCCAAAACAATTTTTAAAGCTTTGAAGAGGATGTGTGTATTGATTTAAACTTTTCCATATTTAGGTTCATAAATTTATAGGAATCATTTCAAATTATATTTTGTGTTTCTCCCTTTTATGTAAGGCAGTTCCAGAAGATAATTCCATGATAGGAAATGTCGTTTATTCCCATATACTCCACCCCATTTTGATGTATTCTGTGCCTAATTTGTCTCTATCTACGCCCTTTACTCCCTTTCCCACTGGTCCTTTGTTCTGTCTGATGAAATCTTTTGAAGGTTTTCAGGGTTGAGTGCTGTTTCATTTTACTATTAATCAGCATAACACTCTCCTTTGTATCTTTTAAACATTTTCATAAGCAGAAAAGAAAGTAATGCAGTCTATTCAAAATGTTTAATATTAGAGAGCTATAGGAATACAATTATTTTGCTCAGAGATCTTTTAATAACTGGAAATGTCCAGAAAGAAAAAGAGAAGTGCTGATGGACATCAATGGACTCACATACAGGCTTTTTAAAGCAAGCTACATGTGCATTTATGATCATGGGAAATGTTACATATAAGTAAAATTTCTATATTATTGAGATACTACTTTCAGCAGCAAGGTAATCCTTTTTAGCTGCCACTTAATAACTACAATATAATTTATTTTATTTTGCTATAGTAAATTTATTGGTGACTATTTGGTAACTGTATCCGCCATTAAGAGTTTTAGCTGGTTTGTATTTTGACATCTCATACTTCTTTTTGTGGATATATATTTCCACATTTTATGGGAAATGTACATATGTTTTGCAAGTTACTGAGCAGCGAAGAGGTTCCTGACTTCATTACTGTTACCATTGCTCTTTTGTTGTTTGCTACCAAGTCGAATTTTCCATATGTGTTAACTATTCCTATTTAAGACATTATAGTCCAGTCCTCAACATTTTCAACAGGAGATAATGATTACCATTCATGGAAAAGAATAGGAAGGCTATATAGATTGAAATACTTCTTCAAATGACAGTATAAGTTATAAAAATCCCAGACTTTAAAAAAATATGATGGAAATTTAGATGCAGTCTTGTAGGTGGATTGAAATTTCTCAGTGAGAATTTTATTACTTGAGAAAGTCTGTATTGTTAAATTTAGCATTTAGGATGTTATGTATACTTGCACACATATTCTGGTAATAATGCTTTCTAATCATGTAGGTAGCAATTAGGAAATGTCATGACAGCATTTTTCAGAAAACGTTAGTGAATGCATAGAAAGTAACTTCTACATGTGTTTGAAAGTTTCAACTGCAAAATTTCTTGGCTCCATGGTTATCATGAGTTTATTCGTCAGGATTTGGGAAATGCTTAAAGCAAATGGGACCTCATTCTTTATCATCTTACCTAAGAGTGGTGGTCATATCTCTTGTTGGCCACAGCCTACTCTCATTAGTTTATAGGAAGAAATAACTGTCTTAATAACACATAATGTGGTAATAAAATAATATATGTATCAATTGTATATTTTATTACCACTTTTATTGATCATTTCTTGGATGTCAGACAATCTGGTAGAAGTTTAGTACACACATTTTAAAGAGAGGAAAATGAAATTTTGAAATAGGATTCAAATCTAAGCCTGCTTGACTCTAAAACATCATTCTTAACCACTATATGACGCTACATAGAATTGTATATAAATAATATCCAATCTCCTTCAGATATTATGTATTAGATTACGTTTCAAAGTACTATCATGAACATAATTAGTTTTGATGCCCAAGCTGACAACGTAAAGATTCCAAACGCTATCCACTCTCAGAGGCCTCCTGTTGCAGGGACACTGCCTGAAAATCTGTGAAGGTTAGATTTGTGGATGTTTTTCTTCTATAAGCTAGGTCATAATTGGTACTTTATTGTTTAAATAACGATGGCAATAGCATAGTTCAAGCTCATCTAGGGTAATGTACATTTTGAGTGTTGATCTGAAAACTTACTAATTAGAAAGGAATGTCTCTGGGAAAATGCATAGAGTCTAAACAAATGATTGATAGATTTTTTTAATGCAGCCTGTTCATTAAGATGGGACTGACTGTACTCTGTCCTGTTCTCTTCTAGTCAGGGAGGAAGAGAACAAGCTGTCATAAATCTTATGGAAAAACTTCAAGTGCAACTTTGAAAATGAGAAACAAAAGAGGAGAAAGCACAAATCATTTTCTCACAACTTGTGTCCTCTATTTCTGCTCCCTTCCTCTTTTCCTATTAGCATGAGTATCAAAATTCCTGAGTTTATTGGAAGCATTTGTAAAGAAAGATTCTTATTGTTTTCGCTGGA